TATATATATATATACTACCTATCAAACAAGAACCATTAATTGCCGTCAATTTCTGATGAATGAAGTTCAAATGATGTTTCCTAGAACTAACCATTCCAATTTATGATACTACATAAAAGTAATTTGTTGGTGAGAAAACCAAAAGATTCAAGTAGAACAAACCCATTGTAACAAACCCATTCGTAGAAAATATAGTGAATCAAAGTTATGCAAACCAAATAAATACCTGAAAGATGGATTGATTTATTTTCTAGTGGAGTAGGCATTTTCTTCTTCATCACAACAACAGAGACTTCGTCTCCATCAGTTTTTCTTGCTATATTTTTGTTCTTCAAGTGTTAACAGAAATAAATGCGACCTGGATAGCAAAATCAAATGAAAAATTGTAGATTCATTCAATAAAACACCTACCTACCTATTAATTTCTGTTTTAAAATGACTTTTGGAGATTTAGGGGTTTTGTTTTCTGGTTTGGTTCTCCACAAAAATCGTTGATTCATTCAACAACACCTATCTATTGATCAAATAGAAAATTGTAGATACATACCTTTTTGTTTTTCTTCGCCATTTTTAGCCATATTTGTGGAGAACCAAACCAGAAACCAATGCCCTTCCATGTGTCGTTTCAAAATCTCCACATTTCTTATGACCTAAGCAAAGGAGAKGCGTATTTGGGAAGATGATATTTTTGAGAGTAGTGTTGCCACCTATATTCTAAATGTGAATCAATAAGTTGTACTCTATGTTGAATCGATTACCTGGATTGAGGAGCGATGGAAGGMTCGAGGGATCGAGAAGCKTTTRAATGGAGCTTGAATCATAATCTGAGTTTTTGAATCGTCACTTTGGGATGAGAGATGGAGTGTATTCGAGTATGGCCATATGGGAGGGGAGCGACGGAAGAGGAAGAGGCGTCTTGGGAGGGTAGCCAGGAGCGAAGGAAGAGGCGTAGTAAAGTATAATAGGTAAAGGGGTATTTTGGGTATTTATAAATTTAAGACTTTAAGACTTTGAGTGAAAATGCTTAATAAAATAGTATAGATATAGATATTATAAAACTAATTATATGTTAAAAATAATTATATGTAAAAAAATTGAGTCTCTCATGAGCTTTTCGAGTCGATTATTTGGTAATTTGGCTTGAATCAAACCTACTCGAATCAGGTGTTGACCGAGTTTTGACCAAGTCGATCTCGAGTAGCTTGTGATTTGACATTTACACCCATAGGAGGGAAGACGTAGAGGAAGGGGAAGAAAATGCCGGAGATCGGTTGAGTTTGTTGAAGTATGGGTATCACCGATAAGGGTTCTTTGATGTAGAGGGAGGACGTAGGCAACAGGGGAGGAAGAAGGGTGAGATTGGTTGAGAGTTGCGTCTTATCAAACACTTATCAGGGTAAGCGCTTACCAATTCACACTACCTTACCGGATCAATATGGTAAGGACCACGAATCTTACCCGGTAAGAGCGATACAATGATCAAAAGTCTTACCCGGTAAGTGAGGGCAATGACTCTTACCACAGTAAGCGCTTACCGGATAAATTGTAGCATACGATGTTGTTTTGGTGGACCGAAATCTTACCCGTTAAGTAAATAATAACGTTAAATTTTACCGATAAACACTTATCAGATAAATGTTTGGTAAACGACCCATTCGTCACACGCTGGGTATTGCCGGGTTGGGTTTTCTTGAAAGTCTTCGCGTGTGTATATAATATAGATGGTAATCGTATTCTTTTTTATAACATTAGTAATAATTATTATATTTTTCCTATTTTCTTTTGACAAATGTAGAATATTTCTTTTATATTTTTAAAAGAAAGAAAAGTAAAAGACTAAAATATCTTCTATACAACCGAGTTAATTTTACAAACGAACTCAATTCATAACGAAAGTGAAACCACGATAACCATACATATGGTTATTTTGTTTGGGGGACGCAATCCAGATCCTCATATAGCCACAAGGACGAAATTTGTAATTTACTCTAAATAAAATTAAAAGTAAATTACGTTGATCTCTATAGCTTATCACAAAATAACACTTTTCGTTCATTTTGTTTCAAAATTAGAAGATGGCTATCGTAATTTGTAAAATTGTTCCGATTTGGTCCCCTTTTTTTATAGTCGTTAAAAGATTTCGTTAAATGGGATACAATTTTATTCTTTTATATTTACTCAATCATAACTGATTTCATAAATTTGGTCATTGTGGTTTTTGATTGGATAATATACAAAAAGCTCGATAAAAAATAAAAATGTCTCTCATTTAGCAAGAAAAATTAACGACCGTTAAAAGAAGAAATCAAATTCAAACATTTTTATAAACTGCAGTGGCTATTGTAATTTTAAAATTGCAAAAGCCAAAAGTTTTATTTTTGACAAACCACATGGACCGATTTTATAGTTTACTTTAAAACCAATATCCATACTATATTGTAAAACATTTGACAAAAACTTTTAAAAACCATTTTTTATACATGAAATATTGTTTATTGATGCATATTACTTAAAAATTCAAGATTACAAGTAAATTGTGCGTTACTACAACTTATTAAAACTGTACGTTTGAATTCGTGTAACTAATTGCAAATAAACATAATTAAATAGGATAAACATCTCATTTAAAATATAAAAAATTTAAAATATAATTAAGATAATTATTGAGTTCTAACAAAATAATTAATTATTTTATTTATAAAAAATTATATTATTAAACCAAATATAGATTGCTTCGTCATTAAACCTAAATTAAATTATAATAAAAAATTAAATTAAATATCGATATATGTTTGTCAATTTTTTATAATATTTTCAAATTTATATTTTATTAAAAAAAAAACATTATCGTTTTTTTCAAAATCACATAAAACCATATTATAACATCGACTTGAGATAAATAATAAAACAAAATATTAAAATCAAGATTTATCTCGTTGCATTGTGCGCATACACTTTTAATAATTATAAATACATTTAGAGTAACTACAGATTTGGTCTCCATGGTTTGAAGGTTCAACACTTTTTGTCCCTATACTTTCAAAATTATAAGATAGCCGTTGTGGTTTGCAAAAATCAATTGAATTTGGTCTCTGTTCATGAGGGCTGTTAAAAGTCCGGAGAGGTATTTGGGTCTTTTTACACCCTTCTGACATTTTACTTAAAAAGATTAATTAATTAAATCAATCCCTCCTTGATTTTTACATCCGACAACCCAAAACAAAACTCCCGGACATCTTTTCCAGCCACCACCACATCCCCTCCTCCGATCATCTTCTACGATCACCACCCTATAATATCCTAGTCATTCACACAAAAAAAAAATCAAAACCTCAAAATCAATCCAAAAACCAAATCTCAAGAATTAAAATTAAAATCAAACAACCCCTGGATCAATGAATGAGGGTATGGGTGTAAATGATGCGAGTAAAAGCTCGAGTATTAGTATACTCGACTCGAACTCGATAGTTATTTCTCAAGTTTAAACTTGACTCAGAAACTCGTGAGTAGTTAAAAATTAAACTCTACTCGAACTCGATTGCAGTTTTTTAAACTCGAACTCAAGCTTGAACTCGTTTGAAGCTCAAATCAAGCTCGAATTCAAATTCGAATCAAACTCGAACCAAGTTCATCCGTTGAAATTTATAAAATTTTAAGGTTTTCTTTTATAGATTATAAATTTAAAGATGTTCTTTTAAATTTTATAAAACTAAAAAGATGTATCTCAAACTTTATTATCAAAAAGACAAAGTTACAAACTCTATTTACCCTATCTTTTTTTTATAATACCTCTTCACCCTTACTTTACTATTTCTCTTCTAATGTAAGAGAACTTCAATGGCACTTTTATAATTTATTTGGTTTTCTTCTAGTTATGATTTTAATAAAAAAAAAATTGTTTAGTTTTTATAATTAAAAAATATATAATTTTGTTTAAATATCTAAAAATATAAAACATTTTTATTATATTATATTATATACATTATATTATAAATTTGATTATATTTTAAAACTAATTATATAAAATATCGAGTATTTCACGAGTTTTTCGAGCCAGGTATTGGGTAGCTCGACTCGTTAATATGTCGAATCGAGCTCGAGTGTGAGTCAAGTATTGACGGAGTTTTAACCGAATCGATCTCGAATAGCTCACGAGTTATCTTGTATCATTTAGACCTGATGGTTTTTGCTTCTAAAAATTCAGTATATTGGTTCAGAAGACGGTAGAAACAAAGAAAAACAAAAAAACCTAGTGACCTAGTTTTCGAACTTCTGGCTCTCCGCAACAAGGTTTTGATTTTCGAGCTCCGATAACCAAGGATTTCGATTTTGAGCTTCATCGGTCTAAGCTCCTCATGACCCTCACCCCTGAGCAACACCAGATCTCCATCTTTACACATGACCATCTTCGGAAATTTAGGGTAGGAGGCGGCCTAGGAGTGTGTTCACAAACAGTGGAGGTTGGTTACGTACGGAAGAGAAAGAGGTCTCCGTCGGTCGAGGCTCCTCACATGTGTGAGGGTGACATGCACAGAAGAGAGATTGAAGAGGAAAGGGTCACCATCAGTCTAGGCACCTCACCTATGTGAAGATAGCGTACGGAGAAAGGGTCATCGGTTTGGTTATAATGTGTTAGAGCAAGTTACATTTCTATTCCCTGTAATTTACCTATTTATTAGACAAATATAAGATAACAGTGGAAAAATTCGAAAATGCTCCTTATTTAACGGAAGTTTTTAACATCCTTTAGAAGCAAAAGCAGGAATCAAATCTATTCGTTTCTACAGACCACGATGGTCATCTTGTTACAAAATTGTAAGGACAAAAAGTGTTATAACCACCAAACTAAAGGGACCAAATTTATAGTTTATTTATTTTGTCATAAAAACCGACAACGTTTGGTACATGCTCGTAAATAACAGAAACTAAGAGGGTAAAATAATAATTAATGTAAAGTTGGCGTGGGTTAACTGCAATGCAATTTTCCCATAAATTAATTTGGGAAAAAACTTAAAACTAGAACAAAATCCCTCGCCGGTTGCTCCGCCGCGAACCAAGTACGTGTTCTCTCAACTTTCCTCCCGTCTATTTATCTCAAATTAGTTAGCATACACACAAATGCACTCAGAGGTTGCTCACGAGTTCTAATTTTGTTGAAATGCTATGTATTTCTTGATTACGATGAAAAAAAGGTTCATCTCAGATTATTCACATTGCGTGTGTTTGATTTATCGTCTGTATTTTAATAAACAAGTTGTAGTTTCACTATAATACCGAGGATAAACAGTTAAGCGAATTACCGAGTAAGGAGATATTGATGGTGATGCTGGTTTTGTATATGCAATAAAATCAATGTGAGTTTTTATCAAACGTACCAAGTTCTACGTGGAAAGCAAGATATATTTTTATTCATATAGTGGAAAAACAATTAATTAGCTTTAATTGTGATAAGATGATACTTTGAATTAATTTGATATGTTGATCATGTAATTTATCAGATTCTTGATACCTTCCCATGGAGGATTAGTCAAAACAAGGCTATTCGCTCTTTCTTTTATAGAATATTCATGAAAAGATTTGAGTTGATAATGTGTGTAATTTGAAGGGAATGATTCATTTGGTTCACATAATTGTTCCTTGTGCTCTTAAAAAGAATGAAGTAGAGTTTGAATCTTGACTAAATTTTTACAAAATCTGAAGGTGAGAGTCAGTCCATACGACCATAAAGGTTTGTAGCAGATTCTATTTGGAATGGATCAGGTACTTAGCAGCAAAAATACTATTGTTTGTTAGTGTCTTGATTCATTGTTTTTGTTGTTGCAGATGGATACCGCCTCATCGTGACCTTGATTTGTCAGTTTGATACAAATATGGGAACTCCAAGTTTTCTCTGGAATGTCTGTAAATCATCCTTCGCATGTGGGTTGATAGGTCTCACCATATCAGATCGTATTGCTAGTATTGTCCCTGTACAGGGTTTCTCTATGTCACCGACTTTCAACCCTTACAATAGCAGGCCTTTGGGATTGTTTACTGGTAGGTTTCTATTTTAGAAGACTTACTGGTTGGTGTATGCTAGTTTGACTGTGTTTGTCAAGTTAATGGGTCATCTGCAGATGATCATGTCTTGGTGGAGAAACATTGCCTGAAGGACTACAAGTTCTCACATGGTGATGTCGTAGTTTTCTGGTATAATCTAAGATGATTGCTACTTTCATAATTGTCTTATACGTTTTCATGTATATAATTGAGTACCTTTATTTATGCAACTATATATGATTGGAATAAGCATTCCTTTATAATTCCATGTCAGTCTGAGTACAGGAATTAAGGAGGTACAGATATTTTTGAGAGATGCAGGGGTCACTCAGTGTACCATACAGTAATCAATGAGCTTCATTGAACCTTTAGTAGCTGTAGATCTGTGTGCATTGGCAACACCCGTAGGGATTTGATATTTTGATTATCAAACACACTCAGTCCCACAATGTGAATTCACTTTTGATTTTGGATATTCAAACCTAGGATATTTGACTGAAACAACCTCTTTGCAAATGCAAGGGAAAGTACTAGGTTGAGCTCTGGAAATCAAAAGTGGGTTCTTATACTTGATTACAAGATGTAGGAAGTAAATGAGGAAGAAAGAAGCAGACTTACATTTCTTCTGAGAAGCACATAATGGCAATTTGTTTGTTAGACAACTCCACATTCACAGCATAGCCTGAAATAAAGCTTCTGTAGATTGTCTTCCTCTTCAACACCAGAATGGAGCTCGAGGTCACTGTCTCAACCTTGAATGTCAGCACTAAATTACCTAATGCTACGCTTACCACTCGCATGCGGAGTTCCCAGGGTCACAAATAAACATGTGTTCTTTCTGGTTGGAGCTTTTCCATAAGATGATCAGCATAAATTGCTTTTACCAAGTATCCTTTCTTGTTGACTACCAGGTATCAGATCAGCAAAGATAACAGGCCACCTCAATTTAAAGTACAAATTTTGATTTAGTTCTTGCCCATTATAACCCATCAAAATCCTTATCTAGAGACTTCACATGCCTAGCTGAGGATTTAACCTCCATTTTCTATTATCACTTCCAATTTTGGCACTGTTGTTATGGTTAAAAACTTTAGTGGTTGTTTTTGGTTCAGAAGTAGTAATGATAATTTGGAATTTCATTATTATAACAGATAAAGATGAAAACAAACAAAAGCTGATGGTGGTTCTTTTTTGGAATGAAGAGATAGAAGATATATGGGGAAGTATGTGTGGTTGAAATGCTTAGGTTACCATTTTAAGTTCAAAATCTGAGTTCCAGTTAGTTTCTATCATTCGATGCAGGAACAGATTTTGAGGTTCCCATTACTTCTGTGTTTAATCAACAATTCCCATAACCCCTTCACATAATGTTCTTTCATGCTCTGTATCCTAGGAACTTTTTGCACAAAACCTATGACCCTTTTAGTCATTGATGCCCTCAGCATGAGAGGCCTGATCAGTTTGTGCATAACTTCTTGGATCATTACATACTGTTTGCATGCCTTCCACTTGGAGCTGGTAAAAAATTAGTTTTGAAGCTGAAACCATAGATTGATGTTCTGTTCCAAAAACAAGATGCTCAGTTTGATTGAGGTCCTCGGTTCTAACATCTTCCAAAGGTACGATTTGACCGTAGGTGTCAAGGGTTTCAGCCACAAGATATGCGGATTTTTGAATTCAGGAAGATTTTGAAATTAACAATAAAGTTCAGAGAACTACTACAGCTAGAAAATGTTGGCATTTAGTTTGTAACACCATCCATATCATCTTTTATATCAAAATGCGACAGTTTTGACTTCCAACCCCTGTTAAAGTTGCTCTGCATGCATGGTTTGTGAAGTACATTAAACTAATTGTAATTTCAAAATGACACTGTGATCCTAAAACAATGCTTTTGTTGATAAAATATATTAAATCTCCAGATGTTTCTTCTCATACCAATTTACTGCTAGCTGGTAATTAAGAGTTATGAGGTTGTGCCATTATGGTATTAGTCATAAATTTGTGAATGTTGTATTCTGTTTTGTTGTGAATTGAACAAGGACTGGACAATTCACCAATATAAATGTTATTATTTGCACTGAACTTTCCTGTTTTGAATCTTGATTCTCATGGAGTATGTTGCTGAGTTTAACTCGGATAGGCCTATCATGTATTGAATAGTTTCTATCCTTTTGCAGCTCTCCAAGTAGTTACAAGGAGAAACACATAAAACGTATAACTGCCATGCCAGGTGATTGGATCAGTGTTCCATACTCGTATGATGCTGTGAAGATTCCTGAAGGACATTGTTGGGTTGAAGGAGACAATCCGACCAATAGCTTGGACTCCAGATCCTTTGGCCCGGTATGTTGGCTTTGAAAACGACATTACCAAATCCCTTGTGCTTCACCATGGTGGATGTGAAAAATGCTGCCCAAACCTCCCTAGCGTCATGTGGCGCCTAGGGTTGGTGATGCAGGCTCCTCAAAGCACTTGAAGGCATGTCCCTATCATAGTTACCCGGTATTGCCCTGTTTGGGGCATGTCATGTTTTCAATGCTTAGTTAGCATCTCATTCTGCAAAAATATGACATCACCCTCTGGAGCACCCCCACCGTACCGATCCCATCATGGGCAAATGGGTAGTGGTTGGAGTTGAATCCCAGACCTCTCCTGAAAACCACAAATATGCCACAAATATGATAGATGCTGATGCATTTTCTGTTTAATGTACTTGTTGCTTGTTTGTATACACCCTCACCTATAGACCCTACCTCTATGTGAGATTTACTGAGGGTTTCATTTTTATTTGATTAACCTGGATATCCAACTCGCTATCTGAGCCGACTAATCCCAAGGTGACCACCTGCTTCGTGGGTAGCCCGGAGTCAACGCATTTGAACCTCCGTGGCCACAAGGTTTTTTTTTACTCCTCTTTGGATTCAAACTTGGGACCTCCAGACACTTTTGACCTTTAAAGCCCAAGCTCAAACCAATCGGACACAAGGGGTGTCATTTGGTTTTGGTGTGGACAACATATCATGCTTTAAAAAGATAATATGAGGAACCTTGTACATGGACATTCCTTGGATGCTAACAGGGTTTGATCCACATGTAGCTGCTTCCAAGTAAAGACAGATTGGTTATAAACCTTGTTCACTGAAAAGGTCCAATAGCTTTTTTTTTTAACCATTGGTGTCTGGGCCAGTTTGTGTGCATCCGGACTAATCTCATGGGGTCCTGAACATAATAGTCCGGAGAATCCTCAGTGTCCCTGAGGAGGTCCAATAGCATGATATGTAGAAAAGATGTGTCTTCTTTTTGATATGCAACAACTTGCCTACTTTGAGCATGTCAATTTATTGATCTTTATATAATTGTTTTACAGATTCCATTGGGGTTAATTCGTGGAAGAGTTACACACATTCTGTGGCCCCCTCAAAGAGTTGGGAAAATCGATAGAAAGCTTCCTGGAGGTGGACTTGGCTTCTAAGGTGAGTGAGTATTCTGTCGCATTTTGCTCATTCTTTTTCTCTATGACGACGTCTGAATTCATACATGGAGGATCAGGGTCTCGTTCTTTGCCTCGGTTGTTAGATAATGGATTTAAAATCAATTTCATGTTCGTATTATTAGCCCTTGATTTTGATTTGATGCTTTCTAAAACCAAATTGAATTAAAATAAAGCATGTTTTGTTAATTTTGTTTGGTTCTGCTTATGAAAAACCTACTTTTAAAAACTTATTTTTGATGTTTACCACAAAATTATTAGACAACAGAAATTTATTAAATGTTTTCATAAATGATTTTTCGGTTACAAATTTATCACACATTCCCTTTTTCACAAAATTATATTATGTTCCCCTAATTACTCAAAAAACAATGTATTTTCATAATTGCATCAAATAGATGCTACAATTCTCAAAATAAAGCTTTTTAAAAGTAGAACCCCAAAATAAGAACATGAGAAAATACATTCAATATTGATGCAATTTGTATTTTTTAACACCCATAATTAAAATTTTACACAAAAAATAAAATCCATCCATCATAATCTAATAATAAATAGGAAGAATAAGCAATTTAAACTCAGAGTGCCGTATTTTGTTGAAGTACGAATGGTACTAAAACAAACTTAAGTTCATATGTAGAATTTACTTTTACAAGATTACGAATTTACGAGCTACCGTCCTTTCATGACTCACAACCAAGGTTTTCTAAATACAGAATAGACGAAGACTTTGTGATGAACTTCACCTTTTTCCATCATAAAAAGTGTGAAGATCTCACTCAACTCCTTGTCTAGAACTAGAAGAATTGTGTACGACTCTTGCAATTCTTTAAGCATGATTTTATTTTTTAGTTTATTATTTTGTGTATTGCTTAGCTACCAATAATAATCTAAGAATTGCACCACTTATCCAGGCTTTCGACATGTAATAATGGAGACCTTGATCACATCCTTCTTGAGTCCTTCAATCATCAATGGCATTGCTAATGCCCCTTTAATAGTCTTCCATCCTACCCAAATTAAGTGAAAAAAGATGTATATTGATTACCCAACAACAAAAATTAAGTGAAAAAAGATGTATATTGATTACCCAACAAGAAGAAGCCTAATTTAAGAGCATCTCCAACGGAGGTTCTTATAAGAAACTTCTTTTTCCACTTTTTTGTTGCCATCTCATTTCCAACTTATCAAATTAAGAACTCACATGGTAGTACACAATGATAGTTGTTATAAGAATCTTTTTTTTCAACATCAATAATTATTATAAAATCAATAAATATATTAAAAAACTAGGAAATTGTCGCTTCACACAAACTTCATGGTAAAAACCAATGTTCTTGTACAAAAACTCAAAGGCGGTGAGGTTTTTATAAGAACTGTCCACAATGATAGTTCTTACAAGTCACTTCAGTTTTTACTTACAAAAGCCATGCATTAGAGATGCTCTTAGTTTTTCTTTTATAACTGTGGATGTGTGGGTCAACTTGCACACACCTTGACTAATTGCAGAGGGCCTCAAGGCTAGGCTCTTTCGCTTTGCAAACAGTATCAGTTACAAACACATCAAGTATAAGGGAAAAGAGGAGTGAAAACTAATTACCGCTTTGTAGCAATGAAGTTAGACCATTCCAAGTCAATGCAGACTTTATCACAGCAGGCCAAAATGGGGCAACATTTTCTGACCAATCTGCTGCTTTGATATCCTGAGGAAAAGGGATCACAATTTGAAAGGTAAAGGTGCGGACGTAGGTAGTTAAAAAGAAGTGATGAAATTTACCTCAAGAGAAAGGGATTCCAGTAATTTTATATAATCTTCAGTAGAACACCAAGCAGGAAGATAAAATGCATCACATATCTTGTCCAAAATCCTCTTCTCCTCTGGGCGTAGGGATTCTTCGCTAGGGGAAAGGTCCCTGTGGCACCAAGTGACTATGATTATTGTGGCTCCTGGGGCCGCCACTCGAGCCAACTCACTAACAAACTGTCAGATTCGGAAACGAAGGAAGTAGCATGTAAAACAGAACACATGACTAAAGTTGTAGCAAGGGATTTTAAACTCGAATGGAATGGACTAAAGGAACTTTAAAGAAATGTGAAGGAAGATGAGAACCTTTAGTTTGTCAGGCATGTGCTCTCCACTCTCCATAGACCAAACCAGATCAAACTTCCCATCAGGAAAAGGCTGGTTCAAAGCATCTGCAACTTGAATAGAGACCTGTTTATTGTTCATCATGGTTAGTTCAAAACCCCATGCACAAATTCAATTTCCACGATGGCACCAAATTCTAACCACTTGTCTCAATTCTCTTAACATTCAGAATACGATATTTACACGACAAGTTCTTGGAGATTGCACTTGACTTGATTCTTATGGTTTTAGGGGTTAAACTGTTTTATAAGGATGGATGCTCAAGAAGTAGGCTCACACAACAACTTGATTATGATCTCCATGTAAAACTGTGAAAACTATAATAAATTCATCCCCACCACCCACATTCAGAGGTGGGAAATTGCTATCTGATTACATCTGGTAGACAGACAGACTGTCAAGTTATGCAACAATCCTTTTTTGAAGGAAAACATGAATCATAATACCTTGTTGGCCAATCCTTGGGCAGCAGAAAGGGCCTGACCCCTCTCGGCTTGTACAGGGCTGAGGGTGATGCCATAACATTCTGCTCCATATTTTGTTGATAAGTACCTTGAGCTACCTCCGATTCCGCACCCAACATCAACTATGCTCTTAGGTTTCTTTACTGGGTCCTCTGGAAGCAACAAATTTACATCATACAACACCTCTTACTACGAACCAAACTAAACTGTCCCAATACGTCATAAAGGTATACTCAAAAGGAAATTAGAAAATCGAACGAACAAATGAAACTGAATTCAAAAGGAGGGAAGTGTTCCTCAAGTAATCAACGTGCTACACAGCTACAGTCATGGCTTATACAGGTATACTCGAAGTGTGTCATTCCAAAGGCAGGGTTGGGGAGGGAGGCTGGGACGGACTCACGTCCATGGTCCGGAGGACCAATTCTTTTAGCATATATAATAATAGATTAAGAAAAATTAGTAAATAAATAAACAAATAAATATATATATTTGGTAACTAGACCCAAAAAAAAACTTGGTATCGTATTAAGGGTTCAAACATGTATTAATTAATTTCATTGGAGAAAATGTGTAATAAGTTAATTGGTCTTTAATTTTATAGTATTGTTCGTTGTTTTTCCGGTCTTTTTCATGTAGTAACAAAGTTTAAATTATTTGACTAGAAAGCTTGATATATTTTCTATCATTCATCTCTTACTAACTTTTTTTATTATTCCATCCGCATGAACTATATTTTTATATGAGTTTTGCTATATACATCGCTGTTTATGTCAAAATCAAATCATACGATGAAAATATAAAATGTAAGTTTTGATATTGATGTATGTGAAAAAGGAAATTAGTAGGTAGAGGTGTATTTAGCATATCCTATTGTATTAATATAATGGACTTCTTGTTATTAATTAAAATTTTCTATTTTTTTAAAAAAAATTATCAACCATAGGAGGCGGTCTAATTATATATATATTTAGTATTTTTAAAAGTACTTTTGTTTTTCATACATTATTGACTTCTAATTAACTTAATATCGAGTACATGATCTCTAAAACAGTAATAAGATCTCACGCTATAACCAACATGGATTTTTGATTCTAATATTGATGGTTTTGAAAAAGTTTGTTTTAATCCTAAAAGTTTAAATGGTGATGAAAAACATTAACATGAGGTGACATGGAACCCCAAGTGTTTTATATGGTGACCTCAAACTATGTTGATCTATATATGAAATGTATATCATACATAAACGGACCTATAGTGGTGCCAACAGTGGCATGTGCGACCGTATTATTTCTCTGTCGAATGGTAAAAAAAATTAGATTCGTAAAATGTGCAAACCGTATTAATTTGTTGTATATCACCATATGTATTTTGAAACTACAATAAGAACAAATTTTCTTTGATAGAGTTGGTTTGCAAGGCTTTAATTCCACCCCAGACCCGAATTCGAATCCTGATAGTGTCATGTTATTAGTCGAATGGCGCCATCGTTTGAAAAAACTTCCCTATATTTGTTTTTTATAATTAAATGGTGCCACCATTTGGAATATCTTCCCTATATTTGTTTCTTATAACCAAATGGTGTCACCGTTTGAATTTTTTTTTGGGATCGTCCATGATATCATAGGACTTCTTTTATGGTGGAACGAATTGACAATGCAACGCAAAAATGATAAAGATAGATAATATTATTATTGATTGATTTTGCGTATAGAAATACTCACGAAAAAAGGTTTTGCCTTTAAAATTTCATGAACTTATCAAACTCCTTTCAAAGGTCACGCTCTTTGGTTTGATTTTTGCATGCAATTTGTGGACTTAAAAGATGCGAGATCATGGTTATTAAAGGAAACCAAAAGTTAGATAAATACCAGGAACAGAGGCGAAGAGGAGTGCCTGTTCAATCATACGGATTTGAGCAGAGCGGTGGTCGGAGATTTGTACGATGGCGCCAGGGTCGTAGAAGCCGTGATGCATGTGTTCTCCCCATATATTCTCCCATATCCCCGATGACTCATCGTAGAACTCCGCTATTCCTTTCTTCAGCCGCTGGTCATCCGCGGCCGTAACCGCCGCACCAACCTTGGCACTAATAGCTCCTCCTCGACGTCGGTGCCACCGCTGTCGTTCACTCCAAGTGACGAGGGTCGCTCGGTGCGTGACGGTGGTGGTAAGGAGTGTCGACACATAAACACCGTACAACACGCTCATTATTTAGTGTTTGTCCGTACACCCAAAATAAGTTACTCGTGCTCTCCGCTTCCAAACTTGTGTCGCACACAGCACCAGCACCAGCACCAGCACCTTTTAATTTATATTCTTCAACAAATATTGAAATTTAGTTTTTAGAACAAGTTCATTTAATTTTAACTACTCCCGCAATGAAGCGAGATAAATCTCGATTTTAATATTTAATTTTTATTCTGTCTCTAGTGATATAATACGCTTTTATGTTTAGAAAACGATAATGTTTTTATTTTTGAATGAATTTAAATTTGAGGATAAGCATGAAAATTTGAAAAAAAAAAATAAATATTAATATCAAATTACTATTTAATAGTTCTCGTTTTTTTTGTTTAACTTCTTTAATTCAATTTTTATTATAATTTAATAGATTTAATAAAAAAAATTATTTTTGATTTAATAATATACTTTTTTATAAAAATAATAATTAAACATTCTGTTAGAACTCAATAATTATTTTAATTATAGTTTAAGTTTTCTATATTTAAAATTGATGTTTATCTTGTATTTGATTATCTGTAGTTAGTTACACGAATTTAAAAATGAAGCTTTAATAAGTTGTACTTATGCAAAATTACCTGTAATCTTGAATTTTAAGTAATATGCATCAATAAACAGTATTTCATGCATAAAAAATGATTTTTACGAGTTTTTGTCAAATGTTTTGTAATATAGTATATATATATATTTAAAATTTTTATATACTTATTAAGAATATTGAAATTAGAAAATTAAATGTTAAAATCTCGGAAAAATATATATTTAATTTTAACATTTTTTTAAGATTTCAATTTTATTTATATTTTTTTGGGATATTTGGGACATTTAATAAAAGAGTTTCTTTTTTCTAAACTAGTTAAGGATGATTTAAAAAAAAAAACTCTATTTTTTTCTGCCATGTATTTAATTTTAGAGTTGTTCTCTAAATTTGAAAAAAAAAATACTTTAGTTGAAATAACACGAGTGACAGATAAACTGGCGTTAATAGCAGGTCTTTGGATGACTCACCAACCGACCCAGTAGTGATCGATGATAGAATGGTAGTTTTTAAAATATTTATTATTTATTTATTTATTTTAAAGAACTATTAAAAATAATTTTTAGAGAATCTGTAAGAGATTATTCGGAAGAAAGATAATGTAGAATTTAGTGATTTTAGACTTATTTTTAACTTTAAAATAAATAAAGTGAGAGAAAGAAGATAAAAGATCTTTAAATTTGGAGATCTTTCAAAAAGTTTTTGCTTAAAGATCGAGAAATTGTTTTTTTTTTCATTGTTTACACTGATAAAAATTTTCGTTTTTCATATAAAAATTATTTGAGATTTTGTTAAGATATTAAATCTATTTTAATAATATAATCAAAGTCGGAAGGTAGAGAACCGTTGGAAACAAATGAATTCTTTATCTTTTAGACATTTTAAGATTTAATATGTATATTAGAAAAAGGGCAAATTGTATGAAAAGTAACGTACTTTAACTTGATTCCTATTTTGGGTAACGTATTTTCAAAACTTTTATTTTAGTACCTAAGATGTAAAATTTTAACATTTAAGTACTCAGGTAACCGGTTGAAGCATTAATCGGTTATCATGCCGATGTAACGAGTTATGAGATGAAATTGGGTTGAATAGCAAATGATACTGAGTTGGATACCACATCACTAACCACATCAGCATGGTAACCATTTAATGCTTCAACAGGTTACTCGGGTACTTAAATGTTTAAAACTTTACATCTTAAGTACCAAAATGAAAGTTTTGAAAGTACGTTACACAAAATAAGAATTATGTTAAAGTACGTTACTTTTTCATGCAATTTGCCCTTAGAAAAATTATAAAACTCTCTCGGACAATGACAAGATATTCATAAAAAGGTAATATCAAATCATTTTTCTAAATGTAGGTACGATAATAGCATAGCTTCATTGATTTGTTTTGAAATCAGATTCATATTGATATTATTAGTCCTTGTTTCACGGTGCACTGACTCGACTAATTTGGCAAAGAATAGACGAACATATTGAATAATCTATACTATATTATAAAGCATTTGACAAAAACTCTTATAAACCATTTTTGTGCATAAAGTACTGTTTATTGATGCACATTACTTAAAATTCAAGATTACAAATAATTTTGCATAAGTACAACTTATTAAAGCTCAATTTTTAAATTCGCGTAACTAAATGCAAATAAACATAATCAAATACAGGATAAACATTCATTTTAAATATAAAAAATCTAAATTATAATTAAGATAATAATTGAGTTCTGATAGAACATTTAATTATTATCCTTATAAAAAATTATATAAACTAAAAATAAATTATTTTGTTATTAAATCTAAAGTAACGTATAATAAAAAATTGAATTAAAAAAGTTACATAAAAAACGAGAATTATTAAATAGTTGATTTGATACTAATATTGATTTATTTATTTTTTTCAAATTTTTATGCTATATTTAAATTTATATTTAATTCAAAAATAAAAATATTATCGTTTTCTTAAAAACACATAAAATCGTATTACATCGATAGAAAAGAATAAAAATTAGATATTAAAATGAAGATTTATCTCGCTGCATTGTATGAGTACTCTTCTAGTACATCAAAATGTGTTTGGATCAAAACAAAAAATTTCTATGCTCGTGTGGTCCGCCAACACTCCTTTTATCATTTTCCTTTTTCTGAATTATATAAATGGTTGATAAATTTAATATTATTTAAAATATTAATATGGGTTATTTAAATGAAATGATTTCAGTATTTAAATATATAGATTTTGGACATATTTTTAGCCCGATGAACATATTTGGCCTATTTTATTTTTAGAGTTAAGTTCATACGAAAACAATAATTAAATCATAGAATAAGAAAAGGATCAGATCATACGTGATTTACTATATAAACCTATTTTATTTTACACTATAATTATGTATAAAATTACACGTGATTCATACGACATTGTTTGCAAACTGAAGTCGCGGGCCATATCGCTTGCACACTATTGTATTAACCGTTGGAATAAAATCACACGGAATTTGATCGTTTTCATTTTCAATTAATTATTTTATGTACCTATTTATAAGATAGAATGCAAATCAAAGGATTTAGAGTCATATATATATAGCCCGTAGATGGTGCTTTCAAATCAAAGAGCACAAATGAACAATCACTGAAAGTGCTCCGATTTATGTTAAAATCCAAAGCCATTAATTAAGTGTTACTTTTTGTTAGTCCATATTATAAATATATTAAAAGAACTCTAATTTTAAATCTATTTAATATGGATGTGGACAGACAGACAGAGAGAATATCATACGAAACTTATTATTTCATAGTTTAGCTCCATTATAACGTCAAATATCAAACGTTTCTTTGACGATTATATATAATTCCTGATTTCATTAATTTCACAGTTTTAAGAAACCTTATAAATGTTGTTAACCTCATTTTGTGGTGTATGTTACGGAAAACAAAACAACATTGCTTATCACAATTAATATATTTCACTTATAATTTTATCCATTCAACAACATTTAGGGTCTGTTTGGTTTGCATGATTAATTATGAGGGATTCAGATTTCATATAGGGATTTGAAATAATTGACGTGTTTGGTTTGTAGGATTTGGAAAAAAATTGGATTCCATTATTTATAAATAATTTATACAAAAAATAATCAAATTACATTTTTATTAATCGATTACTAAAAATTAAAATGTTTTAAAACCTTATCTCATACAATCTTACGAAATCTCAAGCACCCCTTAAGGATTTCAAATCCAAACAATGCAACAAACCAAACATGGAATTGGAGTGAATTTGAAATCAGAATTCCTCTAAATTCATTCCATTCCTGCAAACCAAACATGATTCTAATTTCATCTTTAAACATGAAAAAACGGAGTTCAGGATCTCAACCGAAAGGAAGGAACGAGAATGCAAGCCGTGAAAAACAACTCATAACTAAATACACATTCTACTTTGATGCAATTTGCATCGTCTTTTATAGCACCTATAATTAAAGTTTGAATAAACTACAAATTTGGTCCCTATGGTTTGTTAAAAAGAACATTTTTCATCCCTACAGTTTTGAAACTACAAGATGACCATCATGGTTTGCAAAAATGTCTTGATCTAAAGTTTGAGTAAACTATAAAACGATCATTAAAAATTTCATTAAGTGAGAGACATTTTCATCCTTCTATCTATTTTTTTGTCTTTTATCCAAACAAAATCAATTTATGATTTTGGTCCTTATGGTTTTGATTGGATAAAAGACAAACAAAAATAGATGAAAGGACGAAAATAACCCTCATTTAACGAATGCTTTTAACAGCTGTCAGAGGAAGGGAGCAGATCCAGACGTTATGTCATACTATAATGACCATCTTGTAATTTCAAAACTACATGAGACGAAAAATATTTTTGATAAGCCATAGGGATCAAATTTGTAGTTTACTCTTAAAATACCAAAAATCAAGTTCATCAATCATAAATAACGTATAATAAACACGAAGACTAATTGACTAAACAAGCAATTTAAACTTGAGTGGTGTTTTTTACAAGACGACGAGCTACCGTCCTTTCATGACCGACAACCAAGGTCGTAACTTTCTAAATATAGAATCGACAAAGACTTCACAATAGGCTTTCACATTTTTCCATCATAAAAAGTGTGAAGAATGCATACGTCTCACACTCTCACTCAACCCCTTATCTAGAACTAGAAGAATTGTGTACGACTCTTACAAGTTACAATTCTTGAAGGTAGTCGGAGTTTCAAACTCCGGTGCCATGATTTTATTTTTGAGTTTAAGAATTTTGTTTTGTGTATTGCTTAGCTACCAATGTGGCAGAAACAGTAATAATTTGAGAGTTGCACCACTTATTCAGGCTTTCGACATGTAATGATGGAGAATTTGATCACATCCTTCTTGAATCCTTCAATCATCAATGGCATTACCAATGCCCCTTTAATAGTCTTCCATCCTACCCAAATTAAGTGACAAAAGATGTATGTTAATTACCCAACAACAAGAAGCCTAATTAAGAGCATCTCTAATAGAGGTTCTTCTAAGAAACTCATTTTTCCACTCTTTTGTTGCCACCTCATTTCCAACTTATCAAATTAAGAACCCCTATAGAAGTACACAATGATAGTTTTTATAAGAATCTTTTTTAGGCCCATGTATTTTTTTCAACATCAATAATTATTATAAAATCAATAAAATATATTAAAAAACTATGAAATTGTCACTTCATGGTGAAAAAAAAAAACCATGGTTCTTGTAAAAAACTCAAAGACGGTGAGGTTTTTATAAGAACTCTCTACAATGATAGTTTTACAGGCCACTCCACTTTTTGCTTACAAAAACTTTGCATTAGAGATGCTCTTAGTTTTTTTTATAACCGTGGATGTGCGGAACACACCCTGACTAATTACAGAGGGTCTCAAGGTTAAGCTCATCCGCTTTGCAAACAGTATCAGTTACAAACATATCAAGCATAAGGGAAAAGAGGAGGGAAAGCTAATTACCGCTTTGTAGCAATGAAGTTAGACCATTCCAAGTCAATGCAGACTTTATCACAGCAGGCCAAAATGGAGCAACATTTTCCGACCAATCTTCTGCTTTGATATCCTGAGGAAAAGGGTTCACAATTTGGAAGGTAAAGGTAGTTAAAAAGAAGTGATGAAATTTACCTCAAGGGAAAGGGATTCCAGTAATTTTATATAATCTGCAGTAGAACACCAAGCAGGAAGATAAAATGCATCACATATCTTGTCCAAAATCCTCTTCTCCTCTGGGCGTAGGGATTCTTCGCTAGGAGAAAGGTCCCTGTGGCACCAAGTGACTATGATTATTGTGGCTCCTGGGGCCGCCACTCGAGCCAACTCACTAACAAACTGTCAGATTCAGAAATGAAGGAAGTAGCATGAAAAACAGAACACATGACAATTGGCACTCGAGTTGTAGCAAGGGAATTTAAACCTGAATGGGATGGACTAAAGGGACTTAAAGAAATGTGAAGGAAGATGAGAACCTTTAGTTTGTCAGGCATGTGCTCTCCACTCTCCATAGACCAAACCAGATCAAACTTCCCATCAGGAAAAGGCTGGTTCAAAGCATCTGCAACTTGAAATGAGACCTGTTCATTGTTCATCATGGTTAGTTCAAAAACTCAATGAGGGAAAACATTCAATTTCCACAATGGCACTAAATCATTTGCAATGATAACAACTTGTCTATTCTCATAACATTACGAATACAAATATTACATCTGCAAGTTCTTAGAGGTTAAACTTGACTCGGTTCTTATCGTTTTAGGGGTTAAAACTGTTTTATGAAGATTGATGCTAAAAAAAGTAGGCTCACACAGCAACTTGATTATGATCTCCATGAAAAATTGTAAAACTATAATAAATTCATCACCACCACCCACATTCAGAGGTCGGAAATTGCTAGCTGATTACATCTGGTAGACTGTCAAGTTATGCAACAATCTTTTTTCCAAGGAGACCTCATTCCAATAAGGAAAGCGTAAATCATGATACCTTGTTGGCCAGTCCTTGGGCAGCAGCAAGGGCCTGACCCCTATCGGCTTGTACAGGACTGAGGGTGATGCCATAACATTCTGCTCCATATTTTGTTGATAAGTACCTTGAGCTACCTCCGATTCCGCACCCAACATCAACTATGCTCCTAGGTTTCTTAACGGGGTCCTCTGGAAGCAAAATTTTACATCAAGGAACACCTCTAACAAACCAAACTGACCCAGTACATCATATAACACCTCTTACAGTGAAACTGAAAACATATAGATAGCGAGGCAAATAACAGTTGGTATCAACATAATTCTCATGATCCTTTATTTGAAAATTTTCGATCTGGTTCTTCAAATTAACAGGGCAATTAACACATTCAATGTCAAGAAGTCTATCAAAGAATATGAAAAGAAGAGAAAAGCTGACCTAAATACAGGAGGCTAATAAGAATGAGAAGAATCTGACAATCTAAGCAAAATAGAAGCTAACTTTACTCGTTTGATTCAAAAAAATCCTACCAAATCTGTTGTTTATCACTTCAAAATTGGCATGAACATTAATACTACCTTCTAAAACGACGTACATTATAGATTTTTTACATCGCTCTCCCCCAGAACACTATTTCCATGAATTTCCTCTATAATTTCTGACTGGTATTTTTCAGTTCTTAGATATGAAATATAGAAGTCATAACAGATTCTAAGGACGGGAGTGGCTATGAATTGAATTAAAGAGCACTAATCGGAAATTAACTTTGATAAATTGAAATAACAAAATACATATGTGTTTTTCAACTAAATCGAATTAAAGAGTACAAACCGAGAATGAAATGAAATTCGAGGAAGCTATGAACTGAAATGAAAGATAAAGTAGAAAATCTAACGAACAGAATGAATTTAAATTTAAAAGGAGAAGCGAAGTGTTCCTCAAGTAATCAACGTGCTGTAGTCATGGTTTATACAGTTATACTCGCAACTGTGCCGTTCCAACACAAAGGAGCTATCAAATTCCTTTTGAAGGCCACGCTTGTTGGTTTCAGAAGTTTTAAATGCAATTTGTGGAGTTAAAAGATGTGAGATACCATGGTTATTAAAAGAAAACGGAAGTTAGATAAATACCAGGAACAGAGGCGAAGAGGAGTGCCTGTTCAATCATACGGATTTGAGCAGAGCGGTGATCGGAGACTTGTACGACGGCGCCGGGGTCGTAGAAGCCGTGATGCATGTGTTCCCCCCATATATTCTCCCATATCCCCGATGACTCATCGTAGAACTCTGCTATTCCCTTCTTCAACCGCTGGTCATCCGCGGCCGTAACTGCCACGCCACCATTGGCACTAATAGCTCCTCCTCGACGTCGGTTCCACCGCTGCCGTTCACTCCAACTGACGACGGTCGCTCGGTGCATGACGGTGGTGGTGGTAAGGAGCGTCGATGCACACGCGCCGCACAAGGCGCTCATTCTTTAGCGTCTATCCGTACACCTAAGACAAGTCACTCGTGGAAAAGCACTCTCCGCTTCCAAACAAGTGGTGCAGACTCCTAATCATTTTTCTTATTGAATACTAATTAATTGATAACAATAATAACTATCGTAAATAATTAGTAATTAATGTTAATATAAATAATAAATATTAATTAATTATTTTTTTAATATTTATTAATAATTAATAGCAATAATATTCAAGTTTTATTAATATTTATTTATAATTAATAGTAATAAATAATAATTAATATTAACGAGAGTTATAACAAGAAAAAATGATAATAAACTATCAAAATGCTACTTCAAGTAATATTTTAATATTTATGTGCATCCAAACATGTAATCATAAAATAAATTAGCTTATACGTTAACTTATTTTTGCCAAACAATGCCCAAGAACACCAATAGGAAACTTTTTGAAAATAAATATTTAAAGAGAGAAATAATATCTTAATAAATGAATGAAATATTTTAATATTATAATCAACGTTGGATTGCCCAAAATGAGGAATCTGGTGGACATAAATATAATTTTTTTTTTGAGATTTTAACTTTTAGTTCTTCATTTTAGTTTTTAGAATCAAAATTTGTATAATGATGTTTTTTGGTAAAATTTATAAAATAAAAAATCAAGGGTCAAAATCATATAAAATTATATTTAAATTCGATAATTTTTTATTTTATAAATTTCATTTTTAATAAAAACACATATTTTTATAAAATCGTAATATAATATATGAGGGTTGACGTCTGTCTAAACTTCTAAAAAAATCACTTTGCAAAATCTTTCATCTACAATAGATATTTTAATATGAGAGGGAAAAAAATAATGGGTTAAAATATTAAATATAATAGTTCTTTTTATTTATGTTTCAATTTTATAATAATTAAAATATTAAATTTTAATTTTAAAACAAAGCATGTATATAGATTTGTTATATATTATCATATAGAGTTGGGTTTACGTGAGACTAAAGGTTTTTTTCGTGAGACTCAGGGTTTTTTTCGTGAGACTCAGGGTTTTTTTCGTGAGACTCGTAAAACCAATTTATGTTCATTGATCAACTTTATAAGCTAATGATCTAATGGTTTAAAGTTGCACGGTGACAATTTTGTGATTATTGAGAAGTCTTGTGGCAATTTTGTGATTATGAATGTTCAGATTGTAGATTTAATCCAAGGGTAAGAATTGGTCTTACGGGTCTCACGAAAAACCCTTGGTCTCACATGATTCAAAGTCTATCAAAATATATATAGAAAATTATATTATCTGTATATTATATTATAGAGGAGTGTTCTTTTGCGATAATATATTCATATATTAATTATCTTATATTATATGTTTAATTATGTACAGATTGTATGAAAAAATAACGGACTTTAACTTGATTCTTATTTTGAGTAACGTACTTTCAGAACTTTCATTTTGATACCTAAGATGTAAAGTTTTAAACATTTGAGTATCCGGGTAACCAGTTGAAGCATTAACTGGTTACCATGCTAATGTGGTGAGTGATATGATGAAATTGGGTTGAATAGCAAATAATATTGAGTTTAATACAACATCAGCATGGTAATTGTTTGATGCTTCAACTGGTTACCCGGATACTTAAATGTTCAAAACTTTACATCTTAGGTACCAAAATGAAAGTTTTGAAAGTACGTTACCCAAAATAAGAATCAAGTTGAAGTACGTTACTTTTTCATGCAATTTGTCATTTAGTTATAATCATAAAATTATAGGTCAATCTTAATGGTCGTGTTCTATTTTTTATAATTGTTAAAAAAATTATTTATAATTAAATAAAAGCAAAAAAAAACTGAACTTATACATAAAATATTCGACGTATTATTTTTATAAATATATGATAATCAGAAAAAAGTAATGTTTATATTAGTAAAAGTTCGATATTAGAAAAAAAAAATTAATGTTTGCATAATTAATATTAAAATGTAATACAAATAAATAAATGGAAAAAAAAAAAAAACTTAATCGTAAGGGATAGAGTATAATTAACAAAGGTCAGGGGTGCAATTGACCGAACTAAATAGTAAATGACTCTTTAAATAATGATTTAATTATTTGTTTAATAAAATTAATTTAAAGTTATGTTTGATAAATTAATTGATAATATAGCTGGTGACTGAGAGCATCTTCAATAACTTCTTTAAAATAAAGAAAATCAATATTTTGTTCTCTATAAAGCTCAAAGAGCTTCTTTATCTCATTCTCTAATATAGAGAATTCTCTAAAACTCCAAAAAGATAAGATAGAAATAAGTTTTTTTTTATTTATCCTACCAATGAGAGTTGAATTAATATCATTGTATCTATATATTTTTAAAAAGTTTATTGAGAATATAAAATTATAGAATATTTGAATAATATTATTAAACATGTAATCTCTAAAATAAAGATTTTAACTTTTGATTCTCTATTTTAGAAAGTTAGCTGGTGGCCTGAAAAAGTAGTTGATAGTTGATAAATAAGTGATGAACAAATCATGTTTCTCAAAAGTTAACTGATAAGCATGTCAAATTACAAAAAAACATCTTGAAAAATTAGTCAATTACATTATTTTAGAGTTTAGGGTATAAATAAAATAATATTTAATAATATAATATATTAATACAAACAAGATATAAAGAAAAATTAAAATAATATAATATATTAATTAAAAGA